AGAATGCTGCACTCTATACATTGGTGTTGTTCATTTTTCCCAAATTTCAACTGGGCTTCAGCTCCCATGCGGCTTTTAATGGTTTAAAACGTATTGGAAAAGTCAAAAAGCTCGAAGAATCGGTGTTCTACGATTTAGAGTATTTAGACGATCGACAGAAATTGTCATGTTTCGGATTCTGTTCTTCTTTGCTTTTGCGCAACTAAAACTAACAAAAGAGATATCCCACCAAAAAAGGCCAGTTTAATCTTCCTCTTGAAGATGAACTCTTGGTGATCGAAACACGTGTCGAGGTGTTAAAATAATAGTTTGGTGTTGGGATAAAACTCCAGTTATATGTATGGCTACTGTATGGTGGTCAGTGTTCCTCAGGGAACCATCTTAGGTCCTATCTTATTCCTTGTATATCTGAATTTATTATTTTCTCAACAATCTTGCGGAAAGATAATTTCATTTGCTGATGACACTGTTATACTACGAGGGTTGCCTTTTATGTTTCGGGATTTGGCAACCCTAGTGTTGCAATCTGGCACCTGACAGCTCTATCGTAAAGTTGGACATTTTTGAGCTTAAACGTACTCAGAACGTTTTTGAACGTTTTGTGTTGTTTACAGTAACTTAAAAAATTCATCTTGGCCTAAAAATGAAGGTGAAGGTCATCCAAAATCAGTTGTTGTTCCAAAAACCATTGATGCTGTGCGCGAACTGATATTGCTAGATCGTCATGTGGCCTATCGTGAGATTGAGACAACCTTCGGCATTAGTGGGACCAGCATGCATTCAATATTGCATAAACATTTGACTGTCAAAAAAATTTGTACGTGTTGGATCCCACATAATTTGTCAATCGCTCAAAAAAAAGGCTCGTGTCGATTGGTCGAAGGAAATACTCAAAAAATACGATCGCGGTGCTTCGAAACACGTCTATGACATTGTGACAGGTGATAAATCGTGGATTTACGCGTATGAGCCCAAAAGTAAACAGCAGTCGACTGTATGGGTGTTTCAAGATGAGCCNTGTGCCAAGTCACTATGAATGTATATACCTAATAGATAAATATATAACAATTTTAAATGTTGGTTTGCGCATTATTTGTTAATATTTTTATTATTGAGTGATGTGGGACTAGTCCGACTCTGTGATTGCTTTTGAAGATGAAACATTCAAAAATTGTTCATTGAAGGTAGTTTTTCTTGCAATAAATTACAATAAAGTTGAGCTAACAGAAGTATTACTCGATTTTATTAGTTATCATATCTCGGGTTATGAAAAAGTGACTGCTTTGGGAAACGAATACAATGGAGAATTTATTTATTTCAGTACAGAGAATGAACTGAATATGTGATTGTTCTTAATTATTTTGCAATAATAGACATATCTTCAATATTTCATTTGAAATAAATGAATGACACTCCAAATTATGTGAAATTTGAACATTGCTCAGGTAAATTTTCATTGACAAACAAATTATTATGAGAAATTGAAAAATAATGGTTTTTCATTTCAGTTCAATACAAAAATGTACTTCTAGGTGTACGTTGATACTTGTTGATTGAAGAGAAAATGTCAAAAAAGTTACAAAATGATGCTAAGTGATTACTACTTTATCACTATCCTTATCAATCACACGAACAAATAGAAGAAACATATGAGAGACGTCCGCGCGCAGCTGAAATTCTGCGTTCTCTTCTATCGTACGTGACAGTCCGCTCGCTGTTTATATCCACCAACCCAGTGATTACGCCAAGGAAAAAATAGGCAACCCAATATTTGTATATATTTTCAGTTAGTTATACTAAGCATTGTATCTAAGAGTATGGAAACCATAGAGAATGATGAACAGATTAGAAATTTTCCGAAACATAAAAGTAATGTATACAGTGCATTTCTTCAATGTCCCCCCTCCTTTTATTTTTTGAACGGGTCAACTAAAAAAAATTAAATTTGGAATAATAAAATTAATGCCTGAATACTTTATTTTGAAGTGAAATTGATACATGAAACTTTCAAGATGGCGACTGGGCGCCATCTTGAAAGGGAGGTCTTGTGACACCATTTTGAAGCTCCTGACGAATACTTTAAAACCCTAGAATATGAAGTCAATATCTTGACCTACTGCAAAATGGCGGATTTAATAATTTCCTGAAGACAAACACATTGATATCGATATTGGAGTGACACCAACTCTCACGTTTTCCTGGAAACACATACCCAATATCCAGAAAAAATTAACGTTTTGGCAGGAATATTGAGAAACCATATTGTAGAACTCCTATTTATTGATCAAAATTTAACAGAGAAACTGTATTTGAATATGCTGGAAACTACTGTTCACCCTCTCATCACTGAAATCGTCGAAGCGGATCCTAATGAATTCGATATGGACATTGTATTCCAACAAGATGGATCGCCACCACATAACTCCAGACAAGTAAAAAACTATTTGGATACTACTTTTCCCGGTCGATGGATTGGCCCTCGAGGTCCTACAGAATGGCCGGCCCGCTCGCCAGATTTGACACCTTTGGACTTTTTTTTATGGGGCTATTTGAAGCAAAAGGTGTACGAAACTGAACATGCCTCAATATTGGATATACGACAGAGAATAGTGAATATTTGTAGAGATATTGACGTTACTGTGTTCGAAAATGTTCGGCATGAAATATCAGACAGGCTTTTCATATTTCAAGAAGTTCAAGGCAACCATTTTGAGCATCTTCTGAACTGATCTTAAGCTTATTACCTCATATTATGTAGTTAAATGTCAATGTATTCAGACAATTATTGAAAGTTCCGCCATTTTGTAGTAGTTGAAGATATTGACATTATATTCTAGGGTTGTAAAGCATTTATCAGGAGATTCAGAAAGACGTGTCACAAGACCCCCTTTCAATTTAATTTTTTTTCCCAGTCGCCATCTTGAGAGTTTCATCTGTCAATTTCACTTCAAAATAAAGTATTCGTGCAATAATTTCATTACCCCAAATTTAAATTTTTTGAGTTGACCCGTTCAAAAAAAAGGGGGATGACATTAAAGAAATGCACTTAATATTTATTGAAGTTGCAATTACCTTCTTTCATGACGAACAAACACAGTGGAATTTCATTCTTGATTTCGTCTGGTACGGATACAACGCAGGCCATCGACACGTCTGGATGGGACAGAACTATGTTTTCTAAAGCTAATGTAGATAATCTATGCCCTGCAACGTTGATTACATCATCAGCCCTGGCTGTTACGTAAAGTAATCCGTCTTTATCCATGTATCCAGCATCCATCGTGTCGTAATACCCCTACGGAAGTGAGAATTAATTTTCTTGTTCACCCGAACACATTTTTGTGAATTAGGCCGGAAAAACAGAATTATATTACAAGAGAAATGTACCTATTACTGAGATGAATAAAAGTGAGAGAAAGGAAAAACTAACTTCTTTGGCGTGGAACGAATCCAACAAAAACACTGCTTTTCCACACCACAATCGAAATAAGAATTTTTGATGCTCGTTTCAACAAAAACTAAACTTCAATCCTCATTTATATTCAACAGAGTAAACGAACTACTGAAATTCGGTTCAAGGACACATAGAAACATGTTATAACGAAATACTGAAATTGTTGAATCGGTATATGATAACTATGGAGAGCAACAAAAAATCTATTCCGATCATCTCATTGTTCTGCTTTCATTCTGAATTTGAATAAAAACGAAAAGAATACGCGACGTATTGGTGATGCATCTGGCCGCGTCAAGTTGGTCGACTGTTGTTAATAATGTTTATTTATCAAAAAATTACAATATTGAATTCATAAGTTTATATCAGTAGTGCTTGAGAGCTGCATAAATAAACAATGGCATCACTGAAGAAACAATCGCAAAATTGATCCTTGTGCGTGATTCTAGAAAAGATTCAAAAAAATGACAAAAAAAACATTCATGTAGCACATAATACAATATTTAAAATATCACAATGATTGGTTGTCAGTTTCATGCAAGATATTAGATGATATAAAATATCACAGTCGAGTCGGTAAAAACGTCACATCCAGATTAAGTGAATAACACGATCGGTTTGAAATCTCAGTGAACATAATATACATATATCACATTAACAATAGGCTGTCTATATAGATGGTGAACAGAAGAGGGCCTAAGACCGTACCTTGGGGAATCCCGTAGGTAATCGTCCTTGGTGTACTTACTGCACCATCAATATCGACTACTTGTTTACGGTTTGAGAGATACGATTTCAATAGATCATGCGGCTTACCCCGCATGCCAATTTTTTCCAGTTTCTCAAGAAGCCTTGTATGACAAACAGTATCAAAGGCTTTGGAAAGGTCAATAAAAATGCAAACTGATGGAGATGTCGAGTGATTTGCAGATATGAGTCGTCAGTTCCAATATTGCATCTTCTGTAGATCTTCCTTCTCTGAATCCATACTGTTGTTGGGAGAGGATATTATGTTTTTTCATGAAATGTGTCATTCTTCCTTTTATTATTTTTTCAAAATTTTTTGCTATGTGTGATATCAGAGAAATAGGTCTATAATTTGGAATTTGTTGTTTATCACCACTCTTGAAGAGCGGTTTGATAACACCTGTTTTTCGAGGTTAATATCATCTTTTTGTTATTGAATTTTATCTAGAGCTCCAGAATTTTCATGTTACCAAAACTAATATTTGTTTGATCGTAATCGAGTTCATTTTTTATGAATATTATCACTCCATCATTTTTATTAAATGAAGATTCATTATAGAGTGTGGCAAATCCTTTCAATCCATATATATTAGCATCAGTGACTTTGAAAGTTTCCGTCAATACGATTATTTCAAATATTTTTTCCATAAATGAAAAGTTCATATACGTGTTTGGCAATACTTCTTATATTGGTGTGGACAATTTTAAAGTCGCTGAGTCGCTGAGTGACAAATAAGACTTTAGTCATGTACCTACGTACTTTGAAACAATTGTTCTTGCTGGAATTTTTTGGTAATCAGGCAATTAAATTTGTTCAATTTGATAATTGATATTTTGTTCTTATATCGATGCATTCAGCTGAGAATCTGTATATGTATCTGTTGAGTAGGGATGGTGACTGTAAGCCCACAGCACTTAGGCCACATGTGACCCATTGTACATCCTCCCGAGTAGTAGTCTTCCTAGGCCATCGTCCATCCTGTCCTTTCCAGGAAGATGGACAGGCCACTGGAAGACATCTCCTTTATATCGGCAGGTGTAGGCCAAAACTCACCGAACACACACTCTCTCATTGACGATAACTCCGGGTACTCGCATAGGACATGCCTGACAGTTTCATCTTCCTGTTCACACATCCTGCATAGAGGTGTGTCCACTAGCCCCATGTTATGGCAGTGTTTCCTTAGTTGACAGTGGCCAGTCAGAAATCCTACTGTTGAGCGTAGATTTTTCCTGGTCATCGCCAGATATTTCTTCGGCGCCAGCTTCCCAGGGTCGCTGGCAAGACTGCATCCTTTGATTCCATCTCATCTCTTTAGGGATTTAGCATGGGTGTAACATTTGGCTAGTTCCGCAATTGTCGAAGTCATCAGGCCGTAGGTGCCACTAGGTCCTAAAATTCGTAGTCCAGCCGCTTCCTTGGCTAAAAAGTAGGCAATGCGATTACATTTACTGCTGTCGTGCCCTTTAACCCACCTCAGGATAATGTTATTATCTACGGAGGCTTTGGCTAAATCTTGGTGGCACTCTAGTACTAGCCCAGAGGTAATACGTTGTCTATTCAAAGCTAATAGGTCTTGTCTGCTGTCAGTGTAGATTGTTATGTTTTTGCCAGAAATTCCTTTCCTGGTTATTTCTCTTGTGGCGAATGAGATACCAGCCAGTTATGTTTGGACCACGCTGGTATGTTTCCCTATTCCCCACTTAATTCTTAGGCTTAGTGATCTAAAGTACACTCCACATCCTGAGCCTTCTTTGGTTTTTGAACCGTCTGTATATATGTTTATTGCTGAGAAATTTCACGAAATAATTTTTGTGAGTACCACTCGACCTGGAAATTGTCTCAGATAAATGTCCATTTTTTTGAACAAAAACTTCACCTCAAGTTTTAACGCAACTCACAATGAATGCATTTATTTAAACTTTTGCAATAAACTATGCGTTGGTTAATACTAATACCATACATTATACTCATTAAAAGAACGTATTAATCATGAAGTGACTATTTCAACAAAGGAGTTCAAACCATTTACTGCATTTCTTAAAAAATGTTTTCAAAGTAAGCTAATCCTCAGAAGACCTTGCTAGATGAAGTATTTATTTCAGTAATAAATAAACGTTCAAACTCACCGGATATTTCGTGAAATACGTTTTCACAAATCTTTCTTCTGCCTTGTATAGCGTGGAAAGCACTCCGGGTGGTAGAGGGAGTTTGATTACTATTCTTCCAAGTTCATTGAAATCAGCAGTAGTACCATCCTTTCGCAAAACCTTTACTGCAATAATAATAATATATGAGTTATCAGTTCAAAACACGATATTTAGTTTGTTTCGAAAGTTTGGTCCGTTTTAATGTCATGTGTTTTTGTAGCTCCATCTCAACTGTGTCGTAATATATACTGATCGATAGAGAATGCTGCACTCTATACATTGGTGTTCTACGATTTAGAGTATTTAGACGATCGACAGAAATTGTCATGTTTCGGATTCTGTTCTTCTTTGCTTTTGCGCAACCAAAACTAACCAAAGAGATAGCCCACCAAAAAAGGCCAGTTTAATCTTCCTCTTGAAGATGAACTCTTGGTGATCGAAACACGTGTCGAGGTGTTAAAATAATAGTTTGGTGTTGGGATAAAACTCCAGTTATATGTATGGCTACTGTATGGTGGTCAGTGTTCCTCAGGGAACCGTCTTAGGTCCTATCTTATTCCTTGTATATCTCAATTTATTATTTTCTCAACAATCTTGCGGAAAGATAATTTCATTTGCTGATGACACTGTTATACTACGAGAGTTGCCTTTTATGTTTCGGGATTTGGCAACCCTAGTGTTGCCAAATCTATCGTAAAGTTGGACATTTTTGAGCTCAAACGTACTCAGAACGTTTTTGAACGTTTTGTGTTGTTTACAGTAACTTAAAAAATTCATCTCGGCCCAAAAATGAAGGTGAAGGTCGTCCAAAATCAGTTGTTGTTCCAAAAACCATTGATGCTGTGCGCGAACTGATATTGCTAGATCGTCATGTGACCTATCGTGAGATTGAGACAACCTTCGGCATTAGTGGGACCAGCATGTATTCAATATTGCATAAACATTTGACTGTAAAAAAAATTTGTACGTGTTGGATCCCACATAATTTGTCAATCGCTCAAAAAAAAGGCTCGTGTCGATTGGTCGAAGGAAATACTCAAAAAATACGATTGCGGTGCTTCGAAACACGTCTATGCCATTGTGACAGGTGATAAATCGTGGATTTACGCGTATGAGCCCAAAAGTAAACAGCAATCGACTGTATGGGTGTTTCAAGATGAGCCAAATCCAACAAAAGTTGTTCGTGCACAAAGCTCTTCCAAGCGGAAAAACTGGACATGTCATAAACGTGCCACTAGAACAACGCAGAACAGGCAATTCTGTGTGGTACACAACCATTTGTTTGCCAGTTGTCTTCTTAGAAATCAGGAAAACCAACCGCCGAAGACGGATAACTCTTCACCACGACAATGCGAGCTCTCACACATCGGCTCAAACAACTGCATTTTTGAGCATCCAAAACATCGATTTGATGAGTCACCCGCCGTATAGTCCTGACTTGGCACCGAATTACTTCTTTTTATTTCTCCACGTAAAAAAACAAACTGAGAGGTCAACGTTTTTCGACACCTGAAGAAGCGGTTGCTGTATTCAGAATACATGCTTTGGAGATACCTCAATCAGGGTGGCAAAAGCGACAATTTGTTCAAACGCATGCAAAAGTGTATAGATCTTCATGGGGAATATTTTGAAAAACAATAAAGTGATTTTCGATGATTAACGTTTGTTTTTGTTCTCTAATCCCGAAATATAAAAGGCAACCCTCGTATATACCGCTAATGGATGGGAAGACGTTAGAAATATTGCTGAACGCGATCTGGAATCATCAACTAAGTGGTTTAGTGCAAATTTACTCACAATCAACTTTAAAAAAACTAAACATTCACTTCGTACGAGTCATATTTACCAAAATATATAAATATAAACATCAACTCCAAAAATGTCAAGTTAGTTAAATCAGCAAAGTACTCAGGTATGCAAATAGATAGCTTTCTCAGATGGAATATTCAAGTACATAGCTTGAAAAATAAACACTGATGATTTTCAAACAAGACCCAACCTCTAACGGAAGCAAGAAACTCTTTGGAAGGTTCGAAATAGATGAACATATCAACCTAGCAGACCACTATTATAATATTCATGCAGTCATTGTTCACTGTGGTTCTGGCGTTGAATTTGGTCATTATTACGCCTTGGTCAAAGAAGAAACGGACTGGTTTAAGTTTGACGATAGTCGTGTCACGAAGT